GGGGATCTCACAGCCACTTGCCATCTTCACAGTGACCATTGTGCATCAGGACCGAGATAAAATAGTGGAATCAGTCCACTATAAGTTTGGGACTACTGCAGACCCTCATAGACTGGAATTTAGCAATTCCTCTACAAAAAGGGACATAATTGGACTTAAATGCGAAATGGCAAGGTTGTGAATCACTAAAGTAAGTGCTTCTTTTGACTATAGTGTCGGTGAATAAACTTCCCTTCTTCTTTTTCCTTTTATAAGATTGTCGTATAAGATAACACAGTGGTTGAATGCAGCTATTACGTCATAGGTGATTGTATTTGAGGTAATATTATCACAGTTGTTGAATGGATGTGAGTGAGTCTGATATTACATCTGATGTGTCAATGAGGAGAGACGGGTACATTTTTGGAAAAAATTGAAGTTTAGTCTTTACTGAGTTTATAGCAAGTGTTTAACACGTGCTTGTGTCCAGGTGGAGTCAACTAAGAAGAGTTACCATCAGGCCAAGAAAGAGGAGTGGACGGCGGCTAACAGGGAGGCGCACGCCAAGGCTGACCCGACCAAGTCACAAGAGGAAGTTCGCAAATACACAACCCGGGTGGAGCGCTGCAACCAGGACACCGAGAAAGTACGATGCACACACACGTGAACACGTACATATAAACAGAGTCCCATACATAGCTCCTCTTGTACCAGTCTGGGTGTGTCTGACTCCAGAAAAACATACCTGTGTATGTTTTTTAACTTTGAAACATGACCGGACTTGTCTCCTCGACTTTCCACTTGTAACAAACCCAACGGTTGAGGAGTAGCTCCAGGACCCGGAGAGGAAAATGATCAACCAAACAACAAAAAAACGAAGGAAATCCTGAGACGTGTTCATTTAGTACGCACAGCGTTGTCAGGCAGCCAAGGACCTCTTGAGCAATGTTGATCTCAACAAGGAAATGAAATCCAATATCATTACTCATTCACAGCTTGAAGAAAAATACATCCAAAAAAGCCTTCAGTCTTCAATCACTTGTCTCAACCAGTCTCAGCGCCCCGTGTTGGTATCTGCTGTGTTTAATCACTGCACACTTTATGTAATCATTAAGATATTTAAACATTTTATTCAGTGGGTTCTTACAAGAGTTCACAGAAGAAGAAGACAGTCTTATTATGGTGGGTTCTAGTCAACAGCATGTTATCAGTGTAAATAATACTTACAAATGATGGAGAGCTGTTCATACTGTGTGCATAATAAAAAGAAACTCCCAGAATTCAGTTGGTCACTCTTGCACTCTTGACATTAAGTATTATTCAAAGTCTCTTAGATAAATCCGGAAATATGGAAAAGTTGAGTTCTTTTGTCACTTTGAATATTTTTTTATTACAGGAGAGGTCAACACCCTGTTCAGTTGTTCTTGTAGTTTGCTTTAGGATTTTAATTCATCTGAACTACACTGGAAGCTGATTTAAATCCATAAATAAAATAAAGTAATGTTAGATAAAATAAATTCACTTAAATGATTGAACAAAAATGCAATTCTGAATAAAGCTTGAAATGTCTCATTATTAAAATAAAATAAAACTACAACGAGCTTTATAGCTGCTTTCCAAAGGTTTTTATTCTGCTCTTTGGAACAGACAGTCTTGCACATATACTCGAAGCATGCAAGACACATGCACCTGAGTAAGACCATGAAGTGTAATTGAAATGGTGCATTTAACAAAACACACATTGGTGTACTACTACGCAGTAGCTCAGTGTGTGTGTGTGTGTTTACGGCAGGTAAAGGAGCGCTACTCCAAGGCCTTGGAGGAGCTGAACCGCTGTAACCCCCGCTACATGGAGGACATGGAGCAGGTGTTCGACTTAACCCAGGAGGCTGAGCGCAAGAGGCTGTGTTTCTTTAAAGATGTCCTGCTCGACATCCATACACACCTTGACCTATCCTCCAAAGACAGGTAAGGAAAAATCCACATGCTTGTATTTATTTATCCAAAATTACGTGGATCACGAATCAAGCGATCCATGACTCACAGCGAAGGCATGCAGAGCTGCGAAGGCACGGATGTCGGTCTGAACATGTGCGTATGTACACAGGGGTTAATGGAAAACTCTTGCTGTTGTCCATTAACTGTTGACCTCATATTTTATTTAAACAAGCAACTTTACCAATAATGGTTACCATGGCAAAGTCCAGCCAACTCTGTCCAAATATTGAGCAAATTAACCCTTGAAGAAACTGCTCTTTTGAAGAGCAGTTTCTCACTGTGTGAACGTATTTTTTAAACTCTGAGAGACTTCCTCTGGTATCCATGTATTTATTCCAGAGCACCGATATATATGTGTATATAAAACATTACTTAAGAAAGATTTGAGGAGTCGGAATGATCAAATAAAAAGCCTGAACACGTGTTTCTTTAGTCCCGCAGTGAGCATGTTTCCTGCAGCTACAATAAATATGAAATTGTATAATATCAAATAACTCACAGCCTTTACAGTATGCTTTCGTTTAAGCCTTTAGTGTTATGTCAGTTAGAGGCTGCAGACCACGTTGGATGATGAGTTAATTTATAAAGGACCAATGGGAATACTTTTTCACCCACCTCCTCCATGTGACACTAGTCAGTAAGGCTTTAAACATGGTGGGATAATATTCAACTACTGGTGCAAAAATCTGTGTTCACTAGATGGTTCGTCCTGGCACATATTACAGAGAGTGGAAAGAAAATCCCCCCAAAAAACCATGTTCCATCTCTGTGATAAGTTTGAGATCCTTTAGAGAAAAAAAAAAAAAATTAAAAAACACTTTGAGAGTGTGTCCGGGGGGGGAAAGCTGCCCTCTTACCAGCTGTTCCTTTGGAAGGTTGGATGTAGATGAAGAGATGTTGTTGTTGTTTTTTTTTCTTCATGTTATATCAGCTGGTATACAAACCAGCTCAGTGCTGATGAAGCTGATTAGAAAGTATGCAGCGTGTCTTATCTCAAATCCCACCTTTAAATGACGGCTCTAGGGTTCTCGATGCCCAGCCCTGTGAGTAAACAGGACCTATCAGGAACCTGCTACTGTAAATTCAAAATGCACTGTGTCGATTTTAATTCTCTCCATGTTCAACCAGCAAGTACAGTCTGTTGTTTTCTTTGACAACTGCTTCCTGCTTCAATAAGTAATCTTTTATGACTTTAGAAGGTCCCCAACTTGGAAACCTGTCTTTTCCTGATGAATAGAATTCAACTTTAATGTCATTGCACATGCACAGGTACAGGGCAACGAAATGCAGATTGCATCCATCCAGAAGTGCTTGGATGCAAACTGCATTTCGTTGCCCTGTACCTGTGCAGCATGAAGCAGGGTTAATGACAAGCGTCCCTAAGCATGCGTTACAGGGTGCAAAGTCAGATGAAAGATGGTCTGCAGATTGATGACAGAGTGTCAATCAATGTGATTATTCACTCCCTTTCTGTCCATTAGCTTCAAAGCCTTGTACCAGGACCTGGGCCAGACCATTCGTGCAGCCAACGAAACTGAAGACCTCAGATGGTGGAGGAACACCCACGGACCGGGCATGAGCATGAACTGGCCCCAGTTTGAGGTGTGAAAACACAAACTCTGTTCACCCTGTCGCGCATGAATTATTTTGTTTTGCTTTGTTTCTTTCTGTGCAGTCATCTACATCTGTGTGTGCGTTATCCGTGCTGTGGGAACGTAAATCTGTTGAAACGGTCACATTCAACAGGACTTGACCTCAGTTTGGTTAAATACTCATTATGTAAATATTGTAAATCATTAACTTTGAGTTTGAGGACTCCATTTAAAGTTGAGGAAATGATTCTTTTAGGGGTTGTTAAAGGACATTGTAGTGATTTGCATTGAATTCCCGAGGAGATGGAAACATGACTCTGTGTGTTTTAGGGGACGGACTGAATATTAAGCAGGGTTCCAGTGAAAGCCTCATTTTGTGACTGAAAGCTGAGTGGGGTTAGGAATGTCGAACACACACACACACACACACACACACACACACACACACACACACACACACAGATTAGTTGCTAGTGGAATGGAACTTGCACCTCAGTGCTGCAGACAGGACCAATAAATACAAATATTTACATATGGAAAAACACAAACAAAAGTGCAAATGATTGTTGTGCAGGAATTCAGATTAGAGTCTCAGGATTCTGTAGTCTGCTTAGCATATGTGACAAAATTGTTTTTTTTTTTGTTTGTTTGTTTGTTTTTTTTAATGAAACTACAGTTTCATGTAAATTCTTTTTCAAAAAACAAGAATAACCTAAAGGAAACTTTCTGAGTTTTTGTTTAATTTGCACAGCCAGGGTTACATGTCCAAAATTTTCTCCATGGTCCTGGGGTTTTGGCGTGAATTAAAGAAACTACGTACACTGTGTTTTCCCAGGCATGTTGTTTTTTCCCTTGGGATACTGTAATATTCTGCATACGCCCATAATAGTTACATTGTAAGAAAGGTAGATTGGCGTATTCTACAATACCCTAATTACAGAATATGATTCTTATCATACAAAGAAGAACCATCGTTTGGAGTATTTTAGTGGAAATGAAACAGTTACTCATTATTCCTTTCTTTTAAAAATAGAGTATACACCAATAAGACATAAAATTGTGTGGGTCCTTTTTTTTTTTTTCTGCCAAAGTAGCCCTGAAGGCGAGCAGTGGTATCTGCACCAAGATGTTAATAACAGATCCTGTTGTCCTGTAAGTTTTGAGGTTAGCCTCCATGCATCGTATAGTTTTGTCCAGCACATCCCACAGATCACCAATGGGACTGAGATCTGGGGAATTTGGAGGCCAAGTAAACACCTTAAACTCATTGTTGTGCTTCTCAAACCCTTCCTGAACCATTTTTGCTTTGTGGCAGAGTGCAGTATCCTGCTGAAAGAAGCCATCGGGGAATATTGTTTCCATAAAAGGCTGTAGATGCTCTGCAGCAATGCTTAGGTAGGTGGTACATGTGAAAGTAACATCCTTATGGATGGCAGGACCCAAGGTTTCCCAGCAGAACATTGTCCAAAGCATCACACTGCCTCTGCCAGCTTGCCTTCTTCACATACTGAATCCTGGTGCCAGGTGTTTCTCAGAACGAACATTAACTTTTGTGTCTTGGATTAGACCACATGGGCCGACCTTCTGGTCATACATCCATCCACCACTGTTTCTTTCTTGGACCACTTTTGATGGATACTAACTCCTGAAGACTGAGAACACACCATAAGAGCTGCAGTTTTGGAGATGCTGACCCAGTCATCTAGCCATCACAATTTAGTCCTTCTCAAACTCACTCAAATCCTTGTCCATTTTTCTTCTAACACTCAACTTTGAGGAAAAAATATTCACTTGTTCCCTAAAGTATCCCACCCACCAACAGGTGCCA